AACACATTTTTGTATGACCATTGATTTATAATGTACAATGTCGGGTAAAGCACAAGCCAATAGTTCGCAATCAACAAGCGAGTCGCAATCGAAATCCTCGTTATCACGTATCACTTTAACAGCATAATCCCAATCAATGGTTTTTAACTCGTAACATACGCTGGTGATATTATTCTGTTGTAAAATCTTTACAAACCTTTTAAACTTTGTGTTAACAAGATGTGTATTCTCACAAAGTCATCCATATATATGGTCAATACATTGTTCATAAACAAATAACCTATCCAATGTTTTTCGTTTAACATATAAAATATTGCTGAATAGAGTGAGTTTCAGAACTTTAGCATTCTGTATTTTATCACTTTTGATTGACAAGTCGCAAATCCAAAACGGCGAAGTTTCAGCCTGTTGCAGAAGTCGATCGAAGTCTGTGCGTTTGTGCACAATCTCCTTTCAGATTTGATGTGGTAATATCAAGTGATTACCGCGATTGTCGCCAAGAATAATTTCCACGCAAGGCACAGGTCCTACACTGATTCCAATTTCTAGATATTTGTAGAATGTGGATGTTAGGTTATATCTCCTTCCCAAGATATGAGTTATATGGTGAGACCGTAAAGATGGATTGGAGGAAGAAGCGCTATAAAAGAATAAAAATTATATGTATAATGTACAAAAACAGTTAATTGAAGGAAAGAAAAAATGATGAAAGGCAAAATCTACCTTGCATTAGCAGTCTCTACATGGTCCTTTTGGATAGGAATGTAATAATTCATTCGTTTGACGTTTCCTGCAGCACCGTTAGTATACATCTTCTTAACAGTCTAACTTGTCTGTTCGATCCTTGTGTCACAGAACAAAATGATGCACTGGTCATGTAAGAGCCGTTTTTCTAATATAGACAATCCCCCACTATCGCATACCTTTGTTCTTACAATGATGCAAAATACGCGACATTGCAGTTTCCCCCTCCTATTCTTCATCTATGACGCAGAACGAGAAGCTGAAATAACAATATGTAACAAAAACGCTATATGTGACAATTATTATTACTAATGAGCTTATACACTGCGCTGTGCTGTGCAACAAGATTTTGCAAACGTATGCATGTTATACATCAAGGACAATATATTATATAATAAAGCGGTAAAAACGGTAATACAGAACGGTAAAGAAACGGTAAAGAACGGTAAAAAACGGTAATGAAACAGTAATGAACGGTAAAAAAACGGTTTAGGAACGGTAAAGAACGGTAAAGAAACGGTAAAGAACGGTAAAAAAACGGTAATGAAACGGTAAAAACGGTAAAAAAAACGGTTTAAAAACGGTAAAAACAGTAATGAAACGGTAAAGAACGGTAAAAAACGGTTTAGAAATGGTAAAGAACGGTAAAAAAAAAAACGGTTTAGAAACGGTAAAAAACGGTTTAGAAACGGTAAAGAACGGTAAAAAAAAAAAACGGTTTAGAAACGGTAATGAAACGGTAAAAAACGGTGAAAAACAGTTTAAAGAACCGTTATAAAGAACGGTTCAGAAACGTTAAAAACGGTAAAAAACGGTTTAGAAATGGTAAAAACGGTTAAGAAAACGGTAAAAACGGTTAAGAAACGTTAAAAAACGGTAAAAACGGTTTAAAAACGGTAAAAAACGGTTTAGAAATGGTAAAAACGGTTAAGAAAACGGTAAAAACGGTTAAGAAACGTTAAAAAACGGTAAAAACGGTTTAAAAACGGTAAAAAACGGTTTAGAAATGGTAAAAACGGTTAAGAAAACGGTAAAAACGGTTAAGAAACGTTAAAAAACGGTAAAAACGGTTTAAAAACGGTAAAAAACGGTTTAGAAATGGTAAAAACGGTTAAGAAAACGGTAAAAACGGTTAAGAAACGTTAAAAAACGGTAAAAACGGTTTAAAAACGGTAAAAAACGGTTTAGAAATGGTAAAAACGGTTAAGAAAACGGTAAAAACGGTTAAGAAACGTTAAAAAACGGTAAAAAACAGTTTAGAAACGGTAAAAAAACGGTAAAGAATGGTAAAAAAAACAGTAAACACGGTAGCATTATAATAAAAATTTATTATACATATCAAAGGTTAAACAATTCTTTCTGGCGCTGACACCACCACCAATTAAATATTTTCAATACATTTTGTAACGCACAGTGTTTTATATGATTAATACATCGTAAAATATTGGTTGCATCCAGCTTGTCCAATGACACCATGTCCTCGTAATCCGCATCCAGAGTCTCAATGATCACCTTGTCCCTCACATCATCATCGAGGAGATTCGTCAACCACTCTCGCTTCTCGTATCCCTTGACGTAGACGAGTTTGGATTCTTCGCTGGTTTCGCTGATCACAGCGTCCGTGATCAAACGTTTCGTTTTGTTGTATGGAACGATTCCATCCTTCCAATGCAGACCATGATGATTAGCCGTCAACCATGCTGCTTTCGATTTATCAGCTCTCGTGAGAAGATGCCACGGCATAGGACTCGCAAAGACATAATGGGAGAGAACAGTTCCATTTCCAAGTATTGCTATCTCTTTTACGTGAAATCTCATTCCAACCGTAAATCCTTTCAGGCCCACAAATGTAGGCACGTTCATTTTTATGTGATTTTGCGCACAATGTTGGTCAGGGGACTGTACTCCACAATGCGATCGTGCAGAATGAGGCAGTAAGCTGTGGTATCCATCGGTATATTCTCCTTGCAGTCGAATTCAATTCTCACATCGACAGTGGCGCTCTTGATGGATTCGTTTTGTCGCGAACAATCAATGACCACACACGGACAATGAAAAAAATCACGCTGCAAAATGCGCAAGGCGGCGCAAAACCGACCGCGAAAACCGCCGCAAAATCCGCCGCGGAAACCGCCGCGAAAAACGGCTGCGAAAACCGCCGCAGATCGGTAAAATGATCTATCGAAAGCAGATAGAAAAAATTATATAATATCGGTAATTACCGATCATAATATTATGTAAATATGACAGTAAGAATTATGTAAAAATATATATGTGCTGATAAAAATTAAGTAATTAAATGTTGGTATATAATATCGGTAATAAATTTCTGACGTCATACCCTCCGTGACGTCATACCCCCCCGCCCGCGGTACCCCTCCGCCCCTCACCTCCCCTCGGAGGACCTGGGTTAGAACCGGCCTACTATACCTACTGGCAGTCTATATATATCCTATGATTCCACAGAACCACCACCACAGGACGAAATCAGGAGACTAGTGGCCTATGCGGAGGAGAGAGAGCTCGAGCTATTCCTGGGATGCGATGCAAACTCCCACCACGTTGGGTGGGGGAGCACGAACATCAATCAGAGAGAGGAGAGCCTACACAACTTTGTCATGGGTACAGGACTGATAATTCTAAATAGAGGCACAACACCCACTTTCAGGGATTCCAGAAGGGAAGAGGTAATTGACATCACGATCGGTACGGAGGAGGTGTCCAACCTGGTCAGAAACTGGAGGGTCTTAAAAGAACCTTCAGAATCGGACTATAACCGGATACAATTTACTTTCCAGCACATATCGATAGAAAAATGAACGCGCAACTCAAGAAAAACTGATTGGATAGGCTACAGGAAAGACCTAATGGCCATGCTAACAAACGCTCCAACCAGATTCCATACATATGACTACCTGGACATGACGGCAAGGCATCTGGAGGACTCCATAAGGAACGCCTTTGAAGCCAATTGTCCCGTAACCAGGAAACACTCCACGACAAAGATCCCATGGTGGAACAAAGAGCTACAGAAGCTTAGGTCGGAGGTAAGAAGGAAATTTAACAAAGCCAAGAAAACAGGCTTACCACTGGGAAATATTCAGAAATTCCCAATGTAAGTACAGCAAGGCAATCATAAAAGCCAAGCACAAAAGCTGGAGAGATTTTTGGAACAGTATAGAGAACGCCTCAGAGACATCCAGACTGAGCAGGATCCTCAGCCAAGACAACCGTCCCATCCTAGGATGTCTAAAGCGGCCCGATGGTAATTATACGGAAAGCATGAGAGAATCGTTGAAACACCTTCTGGAGACACACTTTCCGGGGTTTCAGGAAACGACATACTCACAAAACAAGTCAGATGATCAAAAAACTAGGGAAGAGTACAAACCTAGGGAATGGTCGCTGGCTGCCGAAGTGGTGTCCCCAAAGGCGGTCGAATGGGCGGTAAGGACCTTCGACCCCTACAAGGCACAGGGACCAGATGGAATAAGTCCCATACTTTTACAAAAAGGGCTGAGCTACTTGCTAGGTCCCCTTAACGAAAATGTTCAGGGCTAGTATAGCACTAAGACACGTACTGCAAGCCTGGAGAGGTACGAGAGTTATTTTCATATCAAAGCCGGGCAGAAACGGCCATATATTGGCAAAAGATTTCAGACCTATCAGCCTTACATCTTTCCTGCTGAAAAGCCTAGAAAGACTGGTTGATAACCATCTGAAAAGAGGACCACTAACATTGCACCCACTAACTTCGTCTCAATATGCCTATAGAGAGGGCAGATCAATAGATACTGCCCTACATCACCCTGTGAGCAGAATAGAGACACAGTTGGAGGCAAAAGGGTACACACTGGGAGTCTTCCTGGACATTGAGGGAGCTTTCGATAGCACCTCGTACAAAATGATCAGGGAGGCGATGACTAGACACTACATTCCTACCGCGCTTGTGGACTGGACACAAAGCATGTTGACGGAAAGATCAATAACGGTCAACTTCGGAGATCTAACCCTGGAAGACAAACTATCCAAGGGATGTCCACAGGGTAGCGTGTTATCGCTGCTGCTGTGGAGCCTGGTGGTTAATGACCTCCTAGTTAAGCTACAGGAAATGGGGCTCTCCACATACGGATACGCAGATGACGCGGTCATAGTGGCAAGGGGCAATTTCTTCTCAACCCTCAAGGAGCTAGATAGATATAGCCATCAAGGCCGTACAAAACTGGTGTCAGGGGCTAAAAGTAAATCCAATGAAGACCGAAGCCATGATCTTTACCAGAAGATACAAATCCGAATCCATAGAACCATTAAGACTATGGGACATAGAAATAAAATACGTTCCCCAGGTGAAGTATTTGGGAGTCTATCTCGACCACAAACTCAACTGGAAACAACACCTCGAGATGAAAAGGACTAAATTCTATGCAGCCTTCTGGGTATGTAGAAGAGCAATGGGCAAAACATGGGGCCTAAAACCCAAAGTAGCCCTATGGTTATACAAGACAGTCCTACTACTGAAACTGACCTATGCAGCGGTAGTCTGGAAGTCCAGAGTGGAAAATGTGGAAACTAGGAACCTATTAAGAAGTCTTCAAGGTAACTACTTGAGGGCTCTAGTAGGGGCCATAAGAACCACCCCCACAGAGGCGCTAGAAGTAGCACTTTGCGTTCCACCACTGGACAGAATCATCATTTGTATGGTCAGACTCACAGCCTATAGGCTAAAATGCCAAGGCGAGTGGAGGGGTGGAGAAAGACAGTCTGGACTAGAGCTACTCTAAACAAGCCCCTTCACTCTAAGACAGGATAGGATCCCAAAAAAGTACCAGTTGGATAGGAAATTTAAAGTTCAAATACCAACAAGGGACGAGTGGAAAACTATCAGACTTCCCCAACATCCGAACACGGCCATCTGGTACACAGACGGGTCGGGGGCAAACGGCTTTGGAGCGGGCTTCTACTGCCAGAAGATCGACCAAAAGGTAACCATACCTATGGGCGAATGGGTCACAGTATTTCAGGCAGAAGTGCTGGCCATACTGAAATGCGTCGAACTCCAAATCGCACAAGACACAAAAGACAGGAGTATTCTTATCTGCTCGGACAGCAGAGCAGCGTTAGGTGTGCTTGAAAAAACCATCACTGAATCATCAGTAGTATGGGACTACAAGCAGGCACTAAATAAATTTAGTGAAACAAACAAAATCACCATCACATGGATCCCTGGACACAGGGGATTACACGGTAATGAGGTAGCGGATGGCCTCGTAAAACTAGGTACCCTGGAGGACCCGGTCGAGCAAAAGATAGGTATCCCTTTTGCCATTGGTAAGGAATCCATCAAGAAAAGCCTAGAAAAGGAGCATCTGGACTCCTGGAAACGAGGACAGGGCTGTCGGCGGGCTAAACTTTTGATGGAGAAACCATCGAAAAGTAGGGCCCGAGAACTACTAATGATGAACAAAAAGAAACTAAGGCTCGGAATTAGCCTCCTTACGGGACATATGGCCCTAAGAGTACACCTAAAAGGAGGACAGCATCCACATTCTGTGTCGATGCTCCATACTGGCAACAAAAAGATACAGATCCTAGGGACAGATGTTCTCAGAACCCAAGGATCTAAACAAAATGAGGGTCAGCAAACTATGTGGCCAGAGATGTCGCTTCCGAACGGCATCTCTGAGCGTTATCTAGGAAGAGGAGAGTGTCGTCAGCGTGGAGCGTCAGGTAGCTCAGTGGTTTAGAGCAGTCGCCGGGCAAGCCAAAGACCCGGGTTTGAGTCCTGGCCTAGCAGAGCCGCGCTCTCGATATTTTTCTCTTTCTGGAACGAAAAGATACGTAAATCTCGAACGCACGGCGTCCCGCCGCCAACTAGTATGCCCTCCTCCTTCTATGGTTGATAATACCGGGCTAGACCGATAGGAAATACCTCAGGTAAACAGCGGGATGTCACAGAGGAACTTCCAGATCCAGGTAACTGTAGGAGCTGAAATAGCTCTACCCGCTCAAGAATTACTACTATTACTACTACTACTTTATAAGAAAGTAGCGTATAGCCTTCAGTAGCGTATAGCCTTCACGGCTGAGGGAGCAAAGCGCGGCACCCTATGGGTGTCGGGCTTCACACTAACTACTACTTTATAAGGAGTAGCGTATAGTCTTCATGGCTAAGGGAGCAAAGCGCGGCACCCTATGGGTGTCAGGCTTCACACTAACTGTCCCTACTACTTTATAAGGCGTATAGCCTTCACGGCTGAGGAAGCAAAGCGCGGCACCCTATGGGTGTCGGGCTTCACACTAACTGTCCCTATCTACTACTTTATAAGGTTTTTTGTAAAGTTTATTTATAACGATTTTTTTTGTAAAGTTTATTTATAATGATTTTTTGTAAAGTTTAATTATAACAATTTTTTTGTAAAGTATATTTATAACGATTTTTTTTGTAATATATATTACACAGGAAACAAAAAATTTTATAATGTAACCACGAAATTTGTAAGAAAACAGTGTTTTTGCGGTATTTTGAGGTTTGGTTGACATTATTACGATTGGTACTCATCCAGTAACATTCACTGATGCTCATATTATAATTCTGGTAAATATTATGACCGTTATTTTTAATCATATACTAAGAAATTATAAAAAACCTGCAAAACATGAAATTTTGTGAAAAAACAGCGCGATCTTTCATGAAAAACATAAAAATTTAAATTCCGTGAAGAAGTACTCGTATCTTAAACTACAAGCCTGTATGCCATCAAATATACACGATTCCCTTATAGAAATATCATACTAAGGATCATTGATAATTACTTATTATCCAGTATTTTTAATACTGAAAATAAGTAATTATCAATAATTCTTAATATGATATTTCTATAAGGGTTAGCCAGATCCACAAATGCATTCCTTGTCGAAATGGCGTTTAAAGCAAAAAGGATCGATGATTTTTTCGATTTCTCCAACTTTAAGCCGCCATATTGGATTTCATATTGATGATAATAAAAAAAAGGTCAGATTCTTAAAGAGCACACTCAGAATCTACAGTATACTAACTTTAGCTAAACTCGCTCATGATTTAATATAAAATTTACAGCAATGAACAACAGATAAAATTTATGCCATTTTAGGACGAAACGGGTTAATACAAGCACAAGCTAGTACCATTCC